AGAGAGAGAGAGAGAGAGAGAGAGAGAGAGAGAGAGAGAGAGAGAGAGAGAGAGAGAGAGAGAGAGAGAGAGAGAGAGAGAGAGCAACATTTGCCGTTGCGCAGTGCGGCTTCATTCTCATTCTCACTGCTCGGGGAGAAGTATAGACTTTGAAGCAAGTTTCAAAAACTCGTTGAAAGCACTTTGGCAGCTCTTTGGCAGAGGCCTGTTGATCGTGATCAACGGGTAGGGACAGAGGCTTGAGCTGGAGTGGAGCCCATTTCGGACTTAATGCTTATGTTAAATGGATCCTTATTGCAATGGGTACACCTTGTATTGACATTGGTGTCTGACTTGGGGAATTCCATGCACCAACTCAGTCATTCGTCTGGTTTTTCTTTCTTTGTGTTGTCAATGTGCATTGTGCATTTCATCGTTGATTCACCCTTTCTTTGTCAGCGTTAAATATGGCGAGTGTCGCAGCCCGCAAACCGTCACTGTCAAATATGCTTGCTTGGGCAGAAGCAGCAGATGGTTGGCCAAGCATATTTGTCATTGACAGGACGTTCTGCTGGTTTTCTCAGTGCGTTGTCACTGCCGATTTCCTTGTCCGTTCGTCAAATATGCTTGTCCCCAGGACTCCTTGCTCAACTTCCACATAACAAACAATTTCCATACCGCGTTCATGAAGGGATGCGGGGGCATTTCCGGCCCGTTTCCTGGCAGGTGATGCCTTCCACCTATAGACCAAAGCAGGTTTTTTTTTTGTTTTTTTTTTTTAACTTGCTGCTGTCGCAGTCACCGGTTTTGCCTGTCAAATATGCTTATGCTTGCTTGGCGAGGAGAGATGGTTGGCCAAGAAGCATATGCTTGGCAAGTTGGCAGTGACAAGTTGACAACACATTCCTCTGGTTTTCTAAGTGTGTTCGCACTGTCGATCTCTTCGTTTGTGTGTCAAATATGCTTCATTGCTTTCTGTCCTGGACACCAAGTTTTTGTGTTGACGACTCTTGATTATGTTTTTTTGTTTTTTTTTTGTTTTTTATGTTTCTTTTTTTTTTTTGCGGAAAAAGTGCAACCCCGGGGCTGATACGAGCAGACAATGGTAGTGCTGTGGGGGTGGGGGTGGGTGGGGGGGGGGGTAAAGGGTAGCAGGTGCCGATTCTTGATTATGTTAGTCATCGAGCATGATGCGAGTTCGTGTCGATGTCTGGCTGTGAAATGGGGAGTGCACCGCACGTCCTCGACACTGAGGGCCTCGCTCCACTATTCTCGGAATGTGCACATTGCACAATGAGAATGAATCTTTCTCTAGTACATGGAAAGATACAGGGCCATAAGTCTTGTCGTTTGTGAGTGTGGAGAGTAGTGGAGTGAGGCCCTAAGAAGCTGGAGCATAAAATGAGTTGCTTCGGCTCCGTCATGTTTGCCAGGGAAGGGGCATCTGCTTGTTCCCCATCCCCAAACACAGTGAGGGGCCTGAGGGCATACTCCAACTAGCACTTTTCTAGATGTATATCACTCTAATGTCCGCAAAACATGGATCAATCTGACTGCAATCAGGTCCAGAGCTTGGTAGAAAAATCATCGTGGGAGTGTATGCCCTGACTCTCGCCACGCGTTGCCACATGTGCACGTTCCCAGTATCGTTGGCTTCTTGCCGAGTCGGATGGTTGTGCTCCATCTGCCGAGAGTTATATAACGCAGCAATAGTAGTAATAAGTGAACAGCAATGACATCAAACAGACAGATGGTCTGTTGTAGACATACAGGAACAGACAAATTAAACAGAAGGAAAGGATGAAGACAGAATATCCCTGACTCCCTGAGTGCAATCAGGCGCAAAATATTCAATGAAGTTCGAAGACAACAGGCGATGAACCCTGTTATATAACGCGACGGCGTCTATTTCAATTCTTTTGGTCTTCTGATGCTTCTTTCTTCCAGGTCAGCGTATTTGCGGCCCGAACAGTCGAACTTTCACACCTCCAGGGCCCATTTGGGCCCGAGCCATGGCGAATTAGCTATAGTTTATGCTTTTATTTGCCAGATTTCTCAATACAAAGTAGCTGACAGATTAGGGAAAAAAAAAAAAAAAAAAGAAGCTGACCGATCTGATATGGAGACTTCAAGGCTAGAAAGATAATTAATAAAGCGCCCACCACACTAATTCTCGTGCACTTCCATAACTACCATAATAAAGCCCACAAAAAATGTGAAGATAAACCCCACAATGAAGAAAAAACTGTAATTATGTCCTACGGTCGAACTCCTCAGACCAATTGCTGCATAAATGTTTTTTTTTTTTGTTTTAAAAAAAAAAAAATCACAGTCTAAATGATAGAAGTTTTTGGCATTGTTTATCAATTTTCATTTCCAAGAGGGATTAGACGCTGGGTGACCTGATAAGGAAAGCCATCTCTGTGAGCTCCTAGAGACCTTTCTATTGTCGTATTCTTTTGATAGTCTTTTGAGAAGAATGAGGGGCCATACTCGCACCACGACTTTTTTCTACTAAGCTCTGGACCCAAAGTTCAGTCAGGTACAGTTACGAAGTGCTACTAGAAGTGTGAGTATGCCCTGAAACTATTTTTCTCTCAGACTGGATGACAGATACGGGTTCGACGAAGTCTGTAAGCCGTCCCATTTGATTGTCTTTCCTCCCCCGTCTCCTTTGTTATTGTTATTGTTTTGAAGTGAGTTGTACTGTGTTTCTTTTCTTCGTGGTACGACCAAGAGTGGTGGCTTTAACAAAAGTCGACCAAACATCCAACACCGACAATGCTTCTATGTCCAATTGACTCCAATGCTGCAAATCCCCCCCACCAGTGATGGGTGAGCGTGCTGGCCGCGACAGCGGTCCCCGGCCATGGCCGCGGTCTCTGCACGGTCGGTGCGCATGACCGCACCGGTCACGGCCTTTGAAGCCACGTGGCAGCCGGTGGGGGGTTTGGGTTGGAGATCAGGGTTGCGCAACCCCGGCCCTACCCTTTGGGTAAACCAAAAAAATATTTATTTATTTTTTGTTAGGGGGGGGTTGGGGTGGGGGGTGGGGGGGGTGTGATTGGGAGGGGGGAGGGAATTCAAAATAACAAAACACAAAAAAAAACTGTTTGAAATAGAATTGAAAGAAAAAAAAAACTGCTTGATTAATTGATTGAGTGGTTTCTTGATTGATTGGTTGAATTTTTTTTTTTTTAAATTGTGAGTCTGTGCGCGCCCGTGTGTGTGTGTGTGTGTGTGTGTGTGTGTGTGTGTGTGTGTGTGTGTGTGTCCCAGGGGGGGTGGCCGACCCATGACAACTAACCAACGAATCAATCAATCAATCAATCAAAAAACAAAACAAAAAAACTTTTAAAAAGTTGGAAAAAAAAAGAAAGCTCATCGCGTGTGTGTGCGTGTGTATGTGTGCAAGTTGGTGTGAGCGACCCCCCCCAGCCAATCAACCAGCCAATCAATCAATCAATCAATCAAAAACAAAAAAAAAAGTTGAAAAACAAACAAAGCGTTGTGTGTGTGTGTGTGTATGTGTGTGTCCCCGGGGGGTGGGTGACAGCCCTGCAAGGGTGCCGTTTGGTACTACTACTACTACATACCCAGACTTTTACATGTGTGGTACTACGGGCCCACGAGTCCCTCCAAGGGCCCAACCCGATCATGAATCTGGCACATAAACAGCACCGGATTCATTCTGATGTAGGCCCAGTATCTTGAAAAAGAATGGCCCTACTGGCTCATGAATCTGTCACAATTACAGTGCCAGATTCATTGTCCACTGTCCAGTAAAAACAGGCCAAGGGAGCTGTGGCCACGGGTTGAAGGCACCTTAGGGCATACTCACACGGGGACCAAAAGTCTCCAAAATTTGAGTCATTTGGTTCCCCTTTTTTGAGGCATTTGGTTCCCCCGTGGTCACATGGGTGGACCTCCTCCAGAAAGGACGAAGTAGCGACCCTGAGACTTTGAACTCAGGGCAAGTGCGCACGGTCACACGGGGGAGGAGCAAACAACAAGATGGAATTTCTTTAAGTTTTTTTTTCACGCCAGTATAACGTGTGGGCCTTCGCTACAACGTAAATGTTCCTGGTCGCACTTTCCATTGTTTGGCGGGCTGTCTTCTTCTTCTACGATTCTCTTCAATTCGGAGGTGGTCTCAAAAAGGGTCCGCCCGCTGCCCCGCAGGCCGCTGACAGAAGGGTCACCTTTTGAGGCATTTGGGTAGCAAGCCTCTCCAGTGTGACCAAAAAATGACTCAAATTTTGGGATTTTGGGTCTTTTGGTCGTCCTGTGAGTATGCCCTTGGACACCTTTCACCCCCACAGGAAGAAGCTTGGGCCGGTAGTACCAAACGGACAAACTTTGGGCGGCCAAAACCGAAAACGCTGTGGGTGCTTGCCACCAACTATCCCATCTTTTTTTTTTTCCCCTTTCCCATCTCTCACACCACGGTCTGCCTCTGTAGTTGTGACACCTGTGTCTCTGTCACAGCCCTGGTACTTTCATTGCCTTCACTAACTCAGCGGCTGTTTTGTACGCCCGGGCGTGTTCTTTTTGCCCATTCGAAACTCTGTTCTGAAATAAACGTACTTGCCCCTTTCCTCTTTCTTTTGTCACCTCCTGTCAGATTAGATTGAAAGAAGAATGACCTTCATGGCTGCGGATGGAGTAGGCTGCAACATTACGCCATCTAAGAACTACCATTTTCATCCCAATGGAACGCCCTGTCATGATAGCTGTACTTTGGACCAGTTTTCAGTCTGCATGTGGCTATTATTACTGGGCGTTCTGTTCAGGTGAGGACAGAAGGAGTCTGAAAGATGCTTTCTTCACTTGCTTGCCCAAGGTTATTGAGACCCACCACAGTGAAACACTTATATTAGAGAAGCGGACCAATGATTTTGTCTACTTTATCCGAGTGGATAGACAGGAAGTGTGTTAATTGTCTTCCAAAATAAGCTACCGGCTTCACCCCCGAATACAACATACCGTCATTATAGCTCCGCGAATGCAACGTATGGTGATTATAGCCATATTTGGGGTATCTTTCAGCATAAATACAGCCATAATGACCACGCGATGGGAAGATGGTAGGAGGGCTGGGGGAGGATACAGTGAAAGGTAATGAAGGGTTGGGCCCCACAGGACCTTGGAAAGGAAAAACTTTGCCGTAAAACTGTTTCCAGGACCCCACAGCCTGCAGCAGATGTCCACGGAAAGGTGAAATTTCGCCCGCAAACCGTTTTCCGGGACCCCACAGACCGAAGATTGGGGCTTGTAAAAACATAGTTTTGTAGCTTTTGTGTTTTCACATAGAGTTGGACCCCACACGAAAAAGGCTGGAAAAACCTTCCGGCCAAAAAAAAAGGGCCAAGAATTTTGGAAAGCTGGAAAGCAGTTTTGAGGGGAAGCCACGGCGGAGGACCAAATGCGCCGTGGAAACCCTTTGGAAATCAGTTGAGCCAATCGTTGCCTTTCTCCATCGGCACTCATCTGTTTTGTTTTTGTTTTCTTTGTTTTTCCTTCTTTTTTTGTGGCACTCTTGCTTGCCATTGGCTGCTTCCTCCCGTGAGATTTTTCCGACACTTTTCCAGGAAAGACACGCCCTCCCCCCTACCCTCTAGAGTTGGCATAAAATTGCGGTGAGGAATCCTCCTGTGGGACCTTTCCAATCAATCAGTTATTTCCTTATCTATACTTGTATTTTTTTCGGGTGCTGTTTTTGCATTGTAATTGTTTGTCTTGCTGTTGTTCCCTGGCTGTTTCATGCTGTTTACTTGCCCATCCGTCTACCCCATGTCTTTCACCCAGTGTGCTTTGTCGGTTTGTGCTGTTTGCCTGCCCACCCGCCTCCCCGTGCCCTCCAGCCCAGTGTATACAGCCGTACGAATATGGCCCGTCCGTACGTCCGGACGTCCGTACGTACGGTCCCCCCGGCGCCCGTACGGCCCATACATACGGACTTTGGGCCCTCCGCACGTGGCCTTCCGGGCGGGTGTTGAGGGGGTGGATGGGCTGGGGGGGGGTCGGGTGTCAAGGGGTAACCCCCCCATTTAAAAAAAAAAAACAAAAAAAAAAAACATTTTTTTTTTGGGTCCGGGGCTGGGCTACTAGAGTGGCCCGGGGTCACTTGCCCGGCCGGGCCAAAAAAAAAAAAAATATATATATATATATATATATATTTTAAGTTTTAATTTTTGAGAAAACTACGCCGCAGTCAGGGTTTGAGTTTGTAATGTAACTTGAGGCAAAAGGGCCGGTAATGCTGAATGTATATGACCTACGTTTCGGGTCCGGTGGGGTCGCGTGGGGGTGTGTTGTATTGGCGGGGTTGCCTGAACTGCAATTACAAACTGTTTTCGTGACTGCGCCGAAGTTACCCCTTAATTTTTATTTTAATTTTGGTGAAGAATTTCGATGTGACCCTGAGGCAAAAGTTGTTCAGTTTATTTTTCTTCATAACATAGTTTTTTCTCGGAGTTTTTGGATTTTTTTTATTTTTTTTATTTTTCCTAGGACCTCCTTGCACGGGCTGGCCACCCGGGACCCGGGCGGCCCGGCTGGTAGCCTAGGTCCCGGGGGTAAAAAAAAATAAAAAATTTGATTGATTGATTAATTATTTGATTGATTGATTGATTGATTGAATGATTGGTTGATTGATTGATTGATTGGTTGATTGATTGATTGATTGGTTGATTGATTGATTGATTGGTTGATTGATTGATTGATTGGTTGGTTGATTGATTGATTGATTGATTGATTGATTGATTGATTGATTGGTTGATTGGTTGATTAATTGATTGCTATGAATCACCCTCGGCGGCGGCCATCCGCGGCCGAATCCGCGGACGCGGCCAGTCCGCCGACCCCGCGGACGTGTCCGCGCGGAGGCGCGGCTTTGAAGCCACGTGGCGGCCGCAGGGGAGCGACTTTCGGAAATCGGGAGACGCCACGTGGCGGCGCATCCCCGGCCCCATCCCCCCACACAAAGAAAAACCGAAAAAGATCAACTTTTGGTTGGGGCCCTTGGGGGGGGTATGGGCGAAATCGAATGAAATTGGAAAAAAAAACAACGCTTTTTTTTTTTTTTTTTCCGTTGATTGATTAATTGATTGATTGATTGGTGGGGGCGGGGTCGCCCCCCCCCGCCATTGATTGATTGATTGATTGATTGATTGATTGATTGATTGATTGATTGATTAATTGATTGATTAATTGATTGATTGATTGATTGATTAGTTTAGTCGGTTTTTTTTTTCTTCCGTTGATTGATTGATTGATTGATTGATTGACTGATTGACTGGTGGGGGAGGGGTCTCTCCCCCCGCGATTGATTGATTGATTGATTGATTGATTGGTTGGTGGGGGGCGCGCGCACACACACACACACACACCAGTTGTCCCGCGCGGGGGCGAAGGCACATCAGGGGCAGCGCGCGGGCGCACGAAGGGCAGCGCCTGTGTATCTTTTGAACGGAGAACGAACGAAATTGAACAGCCGTTCATCCGTTTAACGGGCCCCAGGGACCCCGTTAAATCCCGTTTAACGCAAAAACGGGGGCTTGGCGTTGAATTCCGAAAAACGGAATTCTCGCTTTGGGCCTCGGACACGTGTGCCTACGTGCCCGGACACTCAAACCTGAAAATAAAAATAAAAAATTCAACCCCTTTGACCCCCCACCCCCAACACTCCTAAAGGACCGAAAAACCCCTATCTGACCCAGAACACACCACCCGGCCCCTCCCCTCAACCTGCACATTCCCACCACAACCCCCAACCCCCGCTGCACTTCACTGCCCTCTGTGCCCTCACACCCACCCCTGAACAACAGACACTACCCCTACACCCCCAATACCCCCAACCCCCACTACCCGGCGACC